AGAGAACCCCTATTAAGAAACTGAAGTTGTGCAGGAATCAAAATGTACAAAACTAATACATTAGGGCAAAACACAAGCCAGAATAGATAATTTTGTAGCATTATCTCACTTAAAGTATTTGATTCTTGGTTATTAAACTCTGCACATCAATAAATCAATAGGTTCGAGAATGGCATTCCAACAAACCAAGCTATATATATAACTAACCGTGTTTGCCTTCAGCAAATTAACTAATAAGGAGCCACTTCAAAGAGGGATGGTTTTATTTAGTTTAAATTATGAAATGTCTGATTAATTATAGTTATCATCATCAATCTTATCTAAGTTTGAAAGGTATTGTTCAGAAATAAGTATACTAATTATTATGTTTTCATATCTGGTAAAATGTTGAAAGAGCTGGTTTCAGAATTTCTCAGATAAATACCGTCTTACGAGTACCTTCTTTCTTTAAATCACCTTTTTTTTTGAGAGAGAGAAAATTTATGTACGTTATTTCACAGTGAAGTATTATAGATTTCAGACTATTCTGATTGCAATGCATCTTAATTTTCTCAGCTAAAACTAACTGATCTTCAATATTCTCATGGAAATTATTAGATAAACCAACTGGATTTGTTACTATGAATGATAGGATAAGAGAGCAGCCATAGGTGGAAGCTAATTTTTGCATGCTAACAGGTATCTTAATTTGAAGAAGGGACATTAATTCTCTACTTTGAAACAGCTCGCAGAGTTGCAAGTGGAAGAACTATACAACTGCTGACACTATTTGACATTGTTTTTAATATGAAAGTAGAATGTCATGCTCTTCATTAGCCTCACCTTACTTGCATGTGTTGGAAAAAGGGGTGTAGACCCATACCTTATCCCCATCGACGGCGACCTCCGGCGAGGTCAAACAGCGAAGATAAGCTCAAGCAAGCTTGCAGAGGGCTTCAGGCGAACTCGAAAGACTGCAGGCAAGGTCGAACGTTTGAGGCATAGGCGAGCTCAAATCTGAGGTGTAGGCGAGCTCGATGTTGGGGCTTGCTGCAGGCGAAGAGAGAGGAGTCTTTGACAGGCGAGCTCGAGCGGTCTCTCCGCAGGAGAAGTCGAGACCCTCTGCAGGCGAGGATGAAGCTACAGGCGGGGTTTGGCGACCTACAGGCGAGCTTAGAGTTGGGGCAAAGGCGAGGTTTGGCTGGCGAATCACAGGCGAGCATTGAGCAGGCAAACTCGAGCGTTTTGGGGATCTCGCCTGCTACGGAGAGAAAGCTCGCATGCGCGTTGGGTTGGATCCAGCTGGATCCCACTCGTTCTTGGCCCTAGGGTTTCCCTATAAATAGGGAAACCTAGATCACGAAAGAAGTGCGCTCTCTCTCTCTCTCTTCTATTTTTTCTTCTCAGCGACTTCTTGGCGGCGATTGAGCACAAGATTTTCAAGTTCAAAATCTCAGTTATTGGAGAGGATTAATTCCTGTAGCGATTTTGTGAGAGAGGAGAGATTTTACTGTTGTAAAATCTCGCGCCTTTTGTAAGAGCAACAAATAATTTTTCTGTTTGCTTCTTTTGAGAGATCTCAAGTTGAGATCTACTCTTGTACAAGCTTTGTAATCTTCTTTAAATATAAAAGAAATTATTTGTGTGGCTCCCGAGGACATAGGCAAGTTGTCGAACCTCGTTAAAACTCGGTGTTCTCTGTTCTTGTTATTTTTAATTTGTTGTGATTTCTTTTTTCCATTCCTTAACACAAGATCCGGTAGGGCAATTTCCGTAGAGGGTTCATATTTGACAGGTGGTCGAATAGCTAAGGAGCAGTTGTACCAATGTTTGGTAGCTTGAATCCCCAACAACGGGTATCAGAGCGTATCTGATATTTCCTAACAACTGGTATCAGAGTCCTTGTTCAGATCTGTGTGTAAGAAATGGCAGAAGAAGGCAAATCTAAAATTAAGAAGTTTGACGAGTCAGACTTCGCCTACTGAAAATCACAGATAGAGGACTATCTGTACTAGAAGGATCTTTACTGTCTGTTGATGGGTAAAGCAAAAGGACAGAAGAAAGAAGAATCTGATGAGGACTGGGAAATATTGGATCGAAAAGCCTTGGGGCAGGTCCAATTGGCCCTCGCAAAATCTGTAGCACATAATATATTAAAGGAGAAGACGACGGTAGGGTTTATGGAAGCGCTCGTAATGATGTACAAGCAACCGTCAGCTGCAAATAAGGTGCATCTCGTCAAGATGTTATTCAACCTCAAGATGACAGAAGGATGTTCCTCCATGATGCATCTCAGCGAGTTCAACACGATTGTTGATCAACTTATCTAAGTTGACATCAAGTTTGATGAAGAAGTACAGGCCCTATTGATACTATCACAATTATCGGACAGTTGGGCAGGTTGCGTGATCGCAATCAGCAACTCGACGGGAAAGAAGAAGGTGAAGCTGAACGAGGTGGTAGCTATGATTCTATCCGAGGAGGTTAGAAGAAAATCGAATGAATCAGAAGGTTCAGGTTCAGCCCTCCCTAAGTCTCGAGCAGAGAGGCGGAAGCCATAATAGGGGGAACCAAAACAGGAATCGATCGAAGTCGAAGAAGAAGAGGTCGAACTCGAAGGTGAGACCTATCAAGGGGAAATGTTGGAACTGCGATCAGGAGGATCATGTCTTCTACATGTAAAGCACTAAAGAAAAATGAGCAGGAGGCTCATATCGTGCAAGATGCGCTGATTCTCACTATGGATAGCGATTCCGGTTCATGGGTCATTGATTCGAGAGTCTCTTTCCACGCTACTGCTAATAGAAGGTTATTTCAGAACTATGTAGCAGAGGACTTTGGGAAAGTATACTTAGGGGATAATGAACCTTGTAGTGTCATTGGAAGAGGTGATGTGCAAATACAGTTGAAGGGCTTCAAGTGGTCTCTGAAGAATGTCAGATATGTATTGAAGCTGAAGAGGAATCTTATTTCGGTTGGCTAGCTTGGAACAGAAGGCTATGTTACAACATTCATCAGTGTCATTGGAAGAGGTGATGTGCAAATACAGTTGAAGAGCTCCAAGTGGCCTCTGAAGAATGTCAGACACGTACCGAAGTTGAAGAGGAATCTTATTTCGGTTGGTCAGCTTGGAGCAGAAGGCTATATTACAATATTCACCGGAGATTCGTGAAAAATCTCCAACGGTACAATGGTGGTTGCCCGTGGTAACAAGACCGGTACCCTCTACCTAACTTCACATGCGAGTGATACCCTCGCAATTGTAGCAGACAAGGGGAGTGCAGATCTGTGGCACAATAGGCTGGGACACATGAGTGAGAAGGGTATGAAGATTCTACACTCAGAAGGAAAGCTAACCGGTATCGATTCGGTGAAAGTCGGTGTTTGCGAAGACTGCATCTTCGGAAAGTAGAAAAGAGTTAGTTTTCTGAAGGGTGGAAGACCACCTAAAGCTCACAAGGTATACTTCATGAAGCACAAGTAAGAGGTGTTTAGCATCTTCAAGAAGTGGAAAGCCATGGTAAAAAATGAGACAGATATGAAAGTGAAGTGTTTGAGACCAGACAATGGTGGAGAATATGAACTGGAGGAGTTCAAGAAGTTCTGTACTCTGAACGAGATTCGTTTTGAGAGGACTACTCCAGGGACGTCGTAACAGAACGACGTAGTAGAAAGAATGAACAGAATGCTAACAGAGCGTGCTAGGAGCATGCGTCTACATGCAGGTCTACCAAAAAC